TTCCTATTTTATCTCTTACTATTATTCACTTGGGATAAATCACACTTGACTTTCTGGAGGAGGAAAAGAAGTTACCCCCCATGGGTTATGGATCTCTTTGTCTCAAATGTGTCTGATATGAGGAGGTTTTGAGTTGTGATTGAATTCTATACTCCCTGAAGTTCTTGCATGTTTGCAAAATTGTTATGTTTGCTAGAATGCAGTAAATACCAGACGTAAACTTTATTCTGAGTTGGGAAATTCATATCCCCCTGGAACTAAATGCTTTATTTCCCACAGGTTTGGACTGCATTATATTGGCGCCATTCATGTCACTCCACTGAAAATTGTGTCAGCATTCTCATTATAAGTTGTTTTTCAGAGGTTATAGCTTGGACATAAAAATTTGCTTCCACTTAAAAACTTGGTCTTAGCCCAAGAAGTAATTAAAAAACCACCAGCATTTTCTTTCAATATGATTTGTGTTATTTTGGGAAGAGAAGAGAGAATAAAAAAACTAACACTGAAAAATGGCAAAGTGTGGGTTACAATTTGTTCAACTTTGACCAACTAAATGATGGAAAAAATCAGAATTTGTCAATCTTGTTAAGCTGTAAAACACTTCAAGATCTTTTTAGTTTTATCATTTTGTTAGGTGGAAAGGTGGAGAATATGAATATGCATGAAGGAATGAATCTACCCTGCATGGAGGGTGAGCAGGTACTTTCCCTTCAGCATTTTTCCAAAGCTGAGAGTGCCCATCCTGAACTTAAACATCATGAGCTCTGAACTTTAAATCCTGCCAGTCTGGAAGTCCCACTGTCCCTGACTTTGTTAAATCACTTATATGTCTCAGAAGTTATGGTGAATAACACCTTTCTTTGGGGGGCAGGATTGCACAGAACCAAGGAATGGTAAAAGCAGCTACTCCATTTTTTGTGGTAGGTGCATGTGGACCATGTTCCTGGGCACAGCAAATTGACAGAAGGGAGTTGGGATGCCCCAGGTGGGGCCTCTCTTTGGGTGAATTGTGGTCCTGTTTGTTTGTAGGGTCTCAAAGTACCTCTGTTTGGTGAGTGATAAATGGTTGTCATGGTTTAACTGCAGCCAGCAGCCAAGCCCCAGGCAGCCACTTGCTCACACCCCCATCAGTGGGACTGGGAGAGAACTGGAAGGGTAAAAGCTGGAAAACTCAAGGGTTGGGATGAAGGCAGTTTAATAGAGAAAGCAGAAGCCACACAGGCAAGCAAAACAAAACAAGGAGTTAATTCATCCCTTCCCATGGGCAGGCAGGAGTTCAGCCATCTCCAGGAGAGCAGTGCCCACCACATCTAGGTGTCACTTGGGAAGACAAATGTCATCATGGCCAGCATGCCCCCTTCCCTCCTCTTCCCTCCCCTTTCTACCCTGAAGGTGATGTCCCACGGTCTGGAATGTGCCTTTGGTCAGTCGGGGTCACCTTTCCCGGCTGTGTCTCCTCCCACTCTCCCGAGCACCCCCGGCCAGCGTGGCAGGGAAGAAGCAGAAGAGGCTTTGGCTCTGTGTGAGCTCTGCTCAGCAGCAACTGAAACATCTCTGTGTTAGCATCACTGGGCTCAGCACAAAGCCAAAACGCAGCCACACATCAGCCAGTGTGAAGAAAACGAATTCCTCTCAGTACAGCAACTCTTAGAATGCTGCTCTGGTTATAGAGACAGAAAAATACCTTCAATCACTGGAATTACTCTTAACTTTATCGGCAGGTGCATGAAAAAAGAAATATTCAGAAATTAACCTGTATCAGAATTGCAGGTAGCTAAGTATCAAGGAACATTAATTTACTTAATTAACGAGTTAAGTCTAAATTTTGTTTGAGTGTAGATGTTTGGAACTGTACTTTGGAAGCCGGCTTAATAATTTTAGTAGTGCCAGCTTTTGCATAGAATTCAACTAAATATCTGAAATTCATTTGGAACATTAATCTGAAATCTTGATGTGATGTGAAGTCTAACTTAATTTCAGCATTTACATAGAGAAATGCTTTTATCTAAGATAGACTTCATGACTGAGAGTGAACTTGGCGTTATTGCCCCTCACCTTACTGTAGTTGAAGTAAGACAGAATCTTATCCTTGAAAATGATATTCTAAACCCTTCTACTGTACTTGCAGCTGTAATCTGCTATGTTGAATTAGATTTTATTTTTTGTAACAAATCTGAGAAGGCACTAATATTCTTCAGTAGCCATGGAAAAAAAGGGTGCTGCAGAATGCTACTGGTTGAAGCTGTTCCTGGAGGTGACCTTAAAAGTTACTGGAGCATTAAAGGGTAAAACTTAGAAATGTTGTAGGCTATTTTCTATTCCTATTCTTTGCCAGGAATGCAGGTGGACTTGGGCATGGTAGCAGATTTGGTCTGAAAGAGCTAAGCTGCCATAACATTACAGGAATTTTAAATCTGTATTGTAACTACATACATTGAAAATACTGTCTTATGAACAGTAATGTCTTATTAATTTTAAAGGATGCTTTGAAGTAGAAGTGCTTCAGAATTACATTATCTTAATTATTCTAAAATGAATTTAGATGTTGTATAGTATCTGCAGAAAAAGAAAAATTCATGTAAGCAAAGATAAAGTATTCATGTTTGTATCTATTTTGTGAAATGAGAGGATATGACTTAAACATCTGTGAATTTTTGTAGTTGGTTGGAGAGTTCTTCAGTCTTACAGGTCAAACTTAATTCTAGTGGTTTTGGGCCAGAAGTGTAGGGCCCATCCTTAAATTGTATCAAAATGCAACATGGAGAGATAAAGGAAGTTGAAATTGAAAGTTAGTGTTTTACCAGGAAGGAATGCTTTATTTTAAAATTGTGTACTTTAGAATCTGTTCTTTTGTTATATAAAATGTATCCAGAAGATATATGCAGAATAAAAAGGATTTCTTAGAATTGCAAGAAGTTTTACTTGATTATGTTTTAATTATATATATTCTGGTTCTCAGATTTATGTTGTACTTGGATTTTATCTGAATAGATAGATTTTTATCATGTTTGGGAAGATATTGAATAAGCCGAAATTCAGAATGTATTGCATAGTTGGTAGTATGATTCTTCCCCAGCTTTTCCCCCCCCCCCGAAAAAAAGAGGTACTCATGTAATTTAGTTGTGACACTGATTTGAAAATTATGGAATTCTTAAGTCCAAGTTCCAAAATTTCATACTGTGCTACACACTGGTAAACTTAAAAGATTTGACTGTTCTTTTGAAGAGCTGGTGGTACAGTAGGCGCCCATGAAGACTTGGGAGTGGGTGTGGGACAGTTGGTGGCTAATTTTCATTTCCATCTGTATTTACTGTGTTAAAAGGGGGGAAGGTATCACATGTGAATATCTTAATTTGCTTTCTGAACTTGTGGAATGGACTAAAAGTTAGATTTGGGAGTATTGCTCCCTTTGTCCTTTTTTGTTTAGAACTTTTGCAAAGGAAATAATTTTTTTCAGAAAATAATAAATTCACGACTTGCTAGAAACAAGTATGTAAAGAATACATGTATTTCTATTCTAGGAGAGCTGCTTTTGCTTTGAGCATTGCCTGCTCAACCAGTTTTAAGTCGTTACTTATTAGCCTACTGACTACTCTGAATTAAGCATTTAATCTAGTTGTTTCTGTGGCATCTAAAATAAGCTGCAGTGTGACATGTCAGAGTCTAATGCTGCTGGGGAAAGTGAATGCTCTAATATGTAAAATACCTAATAGACCCTTGTATGTTTTGACAGATTGGCAAAATGAGGTATGTCAGTGTTCGAGATTTTAAAGGGAAAGTCTTAATTGATATTAGAGAATACTGGATGGATCAAGAAGGTGAAATGAAGCCTGGCAGAAAAGGTATTGTTCTGCTTCATGTTACTTTGTATTGAAACATGGTCTGCACTTTGCAGTAGAATTTCCTATATAATATTTTTCTCCTTTGTTGGTGCATTATACTTACTGAGTATTATTTTCACTTTCTTATGATTTGTATTTTCACAAAGGATTAGTTTTATCTGTAGGTTATGGATAAAATCTTAAGTGAGTCTGTTCTCCTAAAGAGATCCTCCATGATTTATGGAAAGCAAGATGTCAAATACAAGCAAATTTGGTAGGGGAGTTATAAACATATTTACACCATTGCCATATTTCTTCTCCCCCCACCCCAAGTGATTAACTTAATGAACTGAATTTCCTCTTATGGTTGGATTTCTTTTTTCAGAATTAGCTGAAAACATTTAATCATTTTCATAAGATTTTAAATTTTATTAAACCAACCATGTCCTTCAGCTTCTACTAAATTTTAGATTAAAATAACCTAAACATTTAATGTGACTAATTATTAAAAATTGTTAAAAAATGTTTTAGTAGAAGGAGAAATATCTCAAGTGGCCCAAGTTTGTAATCTGTAGCACAGCACAAGCCATAGTACTTCTAGTTGCCACTTGTACTGTTGCTTTTCATGGCAAGGCTTCACTGTGTACCATTTTCAGAACTTCCACATCTCAAAATGAGGATTGTAGGGCAGTTGGCAGTGCTGGTGCTCTGCTTAATGTTATATTGCTTCTCTTTGAAAAGCCTACTTTTTATCCATTTTCATACAGCATCAATGAAAGGTAAGTATGAAATGTTCTGCCCTGGGGATTCACAGAATGACAGAGTGGTTTGAGTTGGAAGGAACCTTGGAGATCATCTCATTCAACCCCACTCCCTGCTATGGGCAGGAACACCTTCCCCTAGACCAGGTTGCTCAGAACTTCATCCAGCCTGGCCTTGAGCACTTCCAGGCATGGGTCATCCACATTTTCTGGGCAACCTGTGCCAGTGCATCGTCACACTCAGAGTACAGAATTTCTTCCTAATACCCACTCTAAGTCTATCCACTTCCATTCCACCCACCCCCATTCCTCCCTGTCCTGTCACTACATGCTGTTGCAAAAAGTCCTTCCCCAGCCTTGTGTACTGGCAGGCTGCTAAGCTTGAAGAAATCTAATGTACAATCACTGTAAGGTTTGTTACATTCTTCTGGTGTATTCAGTAGCAACTCAGTAAGCAGTCATTTAGAAAATTTGAGAAGCATTTTCAACATTGCTTAAATAACCACTGAGAATAGGTTTGCATTAATAGCCATACTGGTGCTCTGCAGGAAAATTGCTAGTTTTGGATTTGTTGCTAGTTAACGGAAAAGGTTACTTCTAAGGACTTCATGTTCTGTGTTTCAAGGTAGAATTCAATAGTATGTGCACTTGGAATGGCAAACAACAGGATTTGATGGGTGGGCCAAGTGACAAAAATGAGAGGATGTAGATAGAAGTGTTCATCAATGCAGCAGGAGTCTGAATTTTGTTATGATAAAAATAATCTGATACAATATGTGAGTCTAATGTTTCCTTGATGCACTCATAAGCTGCTTATCTATCTATCTGTCTGTCTGTCTATCCTGAAACCAGTGTAAGCAGTCAAAATTTTGTAATAGAACAAAAATAAACCCAGCAGTTTAAATTACTGTCAGTGTCTTAAATAGCAGGTCTGAATTTTGTTTGGTTCATCTGGTCTGTGATTGAGCGACATCTTCATGATGTTTAATCCCCTGATAATAGTTAGCACACCTGACCTGTTTTCAGATGAAACCTGCCCTCCAAAGACTGGTGGAAGACTGCTTAGGGAAGCCCCATGTACACAACTTGCTGTTTTAAATTGTGATGGTGCTCTGATAAGACAGTGATGGAAAAGAAAAGGCTATGTGCTCCAAAAATGGAATTCAAAGTTTCAGCTGTTTTCAGGTCCTGCTCTACCTTCAGGCAGAAAGCAATGAAGGAAAGCTATCACTGGGAGAGGAGGGTAGGAATAATTAGTTGGAAGAGCTTGACAGGAAAAAAAGAGAGATGACTGGGAGCCCTGGGAGCCTGCACTTTCCAAAGAGTGGTTCTAGAAATTTTTGGGTAAGAATGAGTAGACCAAAGCACAAATGAAACATCTGCTTGAGGGGAAGATGAGATCAAATTTAGAACTGAAATAATGGTTTGTGGAGTACTGAATGATTATTGGTTGAGTGTCACTAGAAGCTGTAGAGAACTTGAAGTAAAAAGTAACTTAGGTGTTGGTTTGTGAGTGTTAGGGAGTGGTAGAGAGGGTGTCTCTCCAAAAGGCTCCTTACAGCACCTGCTATTTGTAGTAGTTTAAGAAACAAAAAGGGGAATTCCCCCTCAGAATTACAGTAATGGAAAAGTGCACAGCAGACCTGTCTGCATAGGTACAGCTTTTAAGAGCCAACAGGAATAGAAATTATTTCCTTCTTCTCACCCAGGACATTTGTACTGCCTTCTGTCAAGGCCAAAGTTGTGTTTCACTTCTTGTTTTTACCTAGTACTTGTACAATTATGTTGCACACATTTTTCTTTGTAAACTTGTCTAGAAATGACCTGAAGTTCAGTTGAAGCTTTGGAAGTGAGTAGTTTCAGTTTGTAACTAAGATGGTTGTTGAAGTAACTCAAGTATTAATAGTATAACAGAGGCTTAGTGTATGAAAACAGCCTTTACAATAATTGCACAAGATCTTGCATCACAATTTTCTTTCTGTCTTAAGTGTTTATTTTTAATGCTTTTCAGGTATTTCTTTAAATCCAGAACAGTGGAACCAGCTGAAGGAACAGATTTCTGATATTGATGATGCAGTAAGAAAACTCTAAAGATAGAGCCATACAAAAACTTATATCATTTAGTTGTATTAAGCAGTCTTTTTACATTGGCTTTAGTTTTCTAAAATATTGTTTTCCAAGCTATTGTATATTTGGATAGCAAAACAATTTGTAAGATGAATACTTTTCTTATGTGCATTAAAAGTGTATTCTGAGTGAGGATATTTGTGTATACTTTGCTAAAAGGAATTGTGTTGCTTTCACCTCATGGTGTAAAATAAACAAATTAAGTAATATGTAAAGCATACTTGTTTATGGCCTTTCGATTCAAGGAGTTTGCTGATAAGGCCACCTAATAGCTTTAGCAGTTGTTTTAATTTCAGTTTAGTTTACAGTAAATATTCATTTGTTTTATGAGGGGATTTCTTGAGATATCTCAAGTTCACTTTTTCTTTTACTCAATTTTCTTTGGTATTGCCCTACAGCTGTCTGCTTTAAGACTTGATACAAACAGTGAATACTTGGAAAAACATATTTTTTGTAGATAATTTTCAATACTGTGTTTGCTAATTTACCCTATTTATGTTAAGGGTCTTGATGTTATGTTAAGGGTTAAGATGTTAACAGTCTTGAATATATAGCTTGTTTTGCATTACTTGCATGAAGCATTATGCTAAACAATAACACTTGAACACAAAACACATGCTCTCTCTTCCCATTTTTCTAAAGCTTGGTTGACCTACAAAATGCAAGTAGCCTTTTTTCTGGACTTTGGATGTGAAACGTTAACTTCTATACCTCAGAGTAAGACAGTATCTAAAGGCTCCAAATGTGGTTATTAGTTAGAACACTCTTCCAGGTTTGCATTAAATTCATTCTGGAACACATAATCAGTTATGGAAAAGGAATGGTTAACCTGTCTGTAGGGTTTTCATTCATTTGAAAGTATTGCATAAACAATGATGCTTAAATTAGACTGTAACACAGGTTAAGCAATCAAACAGGATTAAAACTGCTGCAGCCAAAATGTCGTTCTGTCTGTCATGTTTCTGCCTCCTGCACGCTCTGCCCAGGCCTCGGGGTGCTCCCTGTGGCTCCTGTGTGCAGGGCTGGTTGATCTCTCTGCGGAAGGCGCTTAGTGAGCCCAGGGGGATTACCCGGTACACAGCACACCATGACCCAGCAAGCCTGGCTGGTCAGCCCCAGTACCCTGGACAGAAAAGCCTCTGGGAGCATCTCACTGCTTTCATCCTCTCCTGCTGCCATCAGCGCTGTGCCCTCCTGCACCGGGGGAAGGGACCGGTGTGTTAGGGGGTGTCTAAGGGGGTTCCCTGCTACCTCAGCCTGTATTTATAATTTACAACAAGGAGTTTGCGGGTTTTAGTTCTTTTAGCCTTTCTCCCCAGGTGGCCAGCAAGCTGTCCGGGGCTGTGCTGTCACCTGATGCAAACTCGCCCTTTGCTGGCACGTCCCGCATCCGGTCCCCACGGGACAGCGGTGCCACCCTCCATGGATGTGACAATATTTCGGCTTCTGGAGGTTGCTATTTTTGCCCGGCGGTGACGGCGAGGTTGGCCCCGCTCCCGCCTGTGCTGTTCCTTCAGAGGACAAACTGCCATTTTTCATTTCCGTGGATAAACCAATATGCAGCTCCTCTTGACTGGCTGACAGAGTGTGTTTCCCTTCCTGAGTCTCAGCAGCATGATCACGGCCTGCATCTGAAATACCACTCTCTGTTACTGAGCCCTGAAAATCAACAGCCTGCACTTCAGCAATTCTAGCCTCAGCCTCTGCCACTGGAGGTGGAAAAGGTTCTGTGGAGCTGTGTGTCATGGAAGCTCTGTTACACAAGAGGCTGCCCAGGAGGAAGGGCTTATGGGTGATGCTGAGTCCCTAACAACAGAAGGGAGGACGGAGAATGTGATGGAAAACTTGGAGATGTGAGTGGCACACCAGGGTGGAAGTTGACGGTGCAAGATGAAAGTTTGCTGGCACAAAATAACTACAGTGAAGAAATGGAAGCAGAATTGGAGGAGTTAGTTTTCTGACATAATTAAGCAAAGCAAGAAGATAAAACAGCTTTATGAAAAAGAAGATTTAAAAACTGGTGAATGTCCAACTTAATTAGTTTATGTGTAATTTTCCCATTTGATGATAACAGAGTCTCTAAATTTTGTATAGATAAGCAAGATTTACTGTTTGTTTAGTTAAAGAACATTTTGATATATTTGTTTTATATTGCAGACATGATTGTAAGTGCCATATGCTGTTTATGTGCTGCAGAGTTCATAATTCAATGCAAATCGGTATTAAAGGCTGAGGAAAAGAGACTTCATCAAATTAAGTGCATGTTGTTTAATTTAAATATGTCACATATCTTCAACTGCTTTTTAACTTACCCACTGTTGATATATTACAAATAAAATTTCAATCTGTTTTTGTATAGCTCAAGAAATCTTACGTTTTTAAGAACTGGTTGAGGGTGAATAAAAGGGTGAGGAGATGTTTGTGATAGCAGATGTGGTTTTGGGCACAGCATTCTTTTTTGAGTGACTCTTAACAACATATAGGGCTATTTGCACCAAATAGAATAAATATGAAATAGCTGCTAAAATTTCACAGATGAGTGAAATAAATTGCTTCAGATCCCTATAGACAGGTTCTAGGTGGTTTTTATTGTAATATATATATAATGTGATTTTGTTCCTTTAAGTCTAAAATTTTGCAACCAGATTTCATGCATTTTACCTCAGAACTTTGAAGTGGCTACTTAAAAGTGCATATAGTTATATTAGAGGGAAGATTGTCCTCACTTTGATTACTGTGCTAATAGGTCAATTGTGTTCTGGAAGATGGGAAATTAAAATCATTCATCTGGGGAGATTGAGTGAAAAGGTTTATTATAGCGATTAGTTTTCATGTGGAAGTTGATGGTAGAGGTATTCAAAGAAATTAGTACTTGTTAACCACAAAGTTATTAGTAGATATCAAGAGACAAGTCAGTTTCACAAATGAACTCAAAATGGGATGACTTGATCTGTCTTGTAAGATGGTAATATGCAAGTAACCTCTATAAAAGTGTGACACATTCAGTATTATTTGGAAATAAATGCTAATGAATTGTCATGTAATCATCTGTAGCTTCTCTTAATTTGAGAAGAAAATTAAAATCTTTTCTGGCTAAAGATTATTTTTTGCAGACAGTGTTAGCTAGGGTGTGTGTTGAAGTATCCATGGAAGAAAATTGTGCATGTATGACGAGGCTGTCTAATGCAAGATAAAAGCACTGCTCCCTTCCCATTTAGGTGATGAGAGATACATTTGATTCTTAGTGTTTATGCAGGGCATATTAGCAATATGTTTTATAAATAAGGCCTACTATGGAGCTTAGGGGAAAAAACACATCACAGAACTGCCAAAGTACTGTATATGTGATAATCAAACTGTCATGTATCATGTTGCTCGTATGTATAGATGTTCATATTGAAAATAAACAAATGCAGTACTAACTTTGGTATTTCTTCTAAAGAAGATGGCCCTGGTTATGTATGTATGTGATCTGTTAGCAAAAACAGTTGATGATTGTAATTCTGGTAACTCAAATGTCTTATTGTTAGTCATGTGGAATGTTTCATGTTTTGCTCTAGTGTCCAATGCAAAGAGGCCACTGGAAATAGAGCCCTTCAACTGTAATTACCTTAATGTTAAATAAAAAATGGTTAAATGGCATATGTGTAATAACAATTTGAACACTTGGAAATAAAAAGACTTCTGTTGACATAGTATTATTTTTAATAGAATTTTAGCTGCACTATAATGTTACGGTACTTGCTGTTTCTTGCAGCTGTTGTAATTTGGAAATTTGGAAACTTCATTATCTTATATTTGGTCTGTGTTTGCAGGTAGGAAACTGATTGTGTAGCCCAGAGGGATAGAAATTTTTCACTAGGGTATGAAAAACAGCTGTCATGTAAATACAGAAGCAGCAGATACAAACACATTTTCAAACATCAGCCTGGAGGGAAGTGCCTGGTATGTTGTTACTGTTATGAGATTGGCTGATTATCTTTTCAGTGGAGTTTCTCTTTGACTGTAAATGTTGCCACAGATGAGATAGAAAAATCTCATGCATTTATTATCATTGGTCAGTTATGTCTGCATAGGCTTCTTCAGGAAGGTTATTTATTTTTCACACACTTGAAGCGATTGATCTGTAGGGGGTGGATTAATTAGTGGACCATAGCCTTGAACCTATTGTAGCAGGTAGGGCCTGGCGTTCGGAAGATCTCGTGATGTTATGGGAAGACAGGGCCCCTGCCCCCTTAGATAAGAAAATTACATAGGAATGTAGCCCCCTGAACCAGATGCCAGTAACTTTCCACTTGCCCAGCAACTTTCCATTCCCTGCTAACCATAGATGGTAAGGACAGACCCTCACCTGACGTAGAAGCCCCCTAGACTATAAAACCCCATGAGAAGAGAGAATAAAGGCCTTTGATCCTCCACCATATTGGTGTCCGCGTGTTTCTTAGGCCCGAGCGACCCTGGGAAAGGGGGTCGCCGTGCTGTTTCCTGAAACCAGGCTGCCTGCCTTGTATCAGAAGGCAACANGTTTCCCTACCTTTTCCCCCCTTTTTCCCTTAAAACCCTGTCTCGCCCCCTGTTCGGGGCCATTTGCTAGTGGTCTCCATATTTGTTAGTGCTTCTGTAATAAAACCGACAGCCTACCTTCAGCAAGTGGTCGCCTCCTAATTCGTCTCATACTCGCACCGCTCCGAGCTACCTCCCAGCTCAGCCCGAGGCCAAGACGCCGAGAAGAGCTAGCTTCAGATGTGCAAGAGTGCTGGCCTTCGTCCCTCACTAGCTAGCCGGATTCCAGAGCTCAGTACACCCTCGCACAAACATGCACATCCTGCCATAAGAAAATGGCACAGTTGCAATTTGGGCATGAGGAAGGCTGGCTTGCTCATCTCTGGGTTGTCTGTTTTGCTCTGCACCAGGAGAGAGGTGGGATCATCCTATGCTCTTCTTAAAAACTAATATTTTTTTAAAATCTCAGACGTGCTTTGCATAACTCTGAAGAGAGGGAACTGCCTCACAGTTTAGTCAGCATGTGAATATACAAATATTTCCAGTCTTTTCTTCAAAGACCAGATGTTTCAGTTATTGTGGAAAATCTAAATGTGCTGCATAAGCAAGATACATCTTGCTTTCTGATCAGAAGGCAAATGCAGTGAGGGAGAGGTGTACAAGCAGTGATCATCATTTGTAGGAGATATATCTATAAGATTTTTACAATTTTCTGGCAGTTAGAGTGATCAGAGATGCTGTATGAGGCCAAAATGAGATATGTACAGTTTTTCTTTGCAGGACTTCATAAGAAAGAGATTCAACCTTGTATAATTTTATTTCATTTGCAGCCTATAGGTCTCTCAACACAAAGCTCACTGTACAGATAAGACAGGAGAAGACACTGTTAATCTTGGCCCAGGCCATGTTTCAGGTTTCTCTTTGGCTGTCTTTGGTGTTTCTCAAAGTCTGGTTTCTCCTGCCTGTGTTCTCTTTGTGTGCGGGTCACTTCAGACACTTCAGCCCAGGAATCTCCTCCCTGGCCAGAGGAGGAGCAGCCGTGCTCTCAGGGGACAGTGAGGATGGGGTAGGATTA